CCTCCTGGGGACGGGGACCCTCCTGGGGCTGGGGACCCTCCTGGGGCTGGGGACCCTCCGGGGGACGGGGACCCTCCTGGGAACGGGGACTCCCTTCCCCCCACTACCCCCCACTACCTTCACAGGGACCCTCCTGGGGCTGACCTTCCCTCCCTCTCTAACTACCCTGGCCCACGTCCCCGGCGTCCTCTTCTTCTCCTCTGCTGCCTCCGTCCTCTTCTCCTGGTCCTCTGCTGCTGCTGCCTCTCCTCTCCCCAGCTCCGGCCACTTTCTTTCGTCCCTCAACACAAACCGGCGGGATGGCTGACAGCTCCGCCGGTGCAGGTCGACCATGTTGTTGAGGCGAAAAGAGAGATAATTAGCAAAGCTAATGTTGCCGGCATAACTTAAGTGTAATCGATCCATCACCTGAAAACATCTCTCTGCGAGCCTGGCCGCCATGATCAAAGAAAAACACATCCTCACTTGAACACAGGTCAACCAAAAGAGAATTCAACTCAGAGCGCTTCCCGTCCATAGAATCATAACGACGTAAAATACTTGAAACAACAACAGAGGCCGACGGGAAACGTGACTTAGTCACTGAAATAAGGGAACGAAAATCGTCAACAGTCCGGCTGAGTGGACGGTGCATGGGGAGGTTGTTCGTACCCACATGCAGGAACACCACATCCGGCTCAACAAAGGGGTGATGCAACACATCACGGGTCAAATCATAAACTGAGGCTCCAGGGTGAGGATGAAGAGAAAACAAAATACCGGGAGACAGGGACACATGGTTTGCCAGATACTTACCGATCGAGTCGGTGAAGCCTAGGATTATCTGAAACAGAAATAAAAATTCCCTGTCACATCTTTTTCTCAAATCAATACTGAAATGAATGTTAGCTTTGTCTTAATAATAGAATATTTATATACTTAACCATTTATCATTTATCAAAAGTTGCATATTTTGTGTTTTTATTATCAAGCACTAGATAGGAGGTACAGACATGCTTGTCTCACTGTAACTTGACACTACATTACAACATTGTTATTGTCACAGTAACAATTTGCAGCAGTCCCGTTGGTTGCTATGCATCTTGTTTTTCTTGCACGGCAACTAGGCAACACGTGACAAAGCTGGCGGGAAATTTTTGCACAAACACACGCAGAAGGATGAATTTTTTTTGTACTCGAGTACAACATTAACTACAATATTTAGAATTGAATCTGTCCTCATGAAGATCTAACGACTTAGAGTCTGGGTCTAAACTGGGGCTAAATTAGTTCAACGGAAATGGTTTTACTACGAACATGAAGTTTACAAGAAATGAAGCACATATACGCAAATTATTCAACAATGACCGAAATGAAATCAAACGGCAAACGATAAGGTTTAGCCATAAAATTGCCGAAAAAAGTGACCCTAGTAGACATGGAATTGCAAATATATCCAGATTCCGCACCAACAGGATATTCATAATGGGAGATAGCCAAAGGTTCAACACATTTTATCCACTTATCGGCATGTGCAAAATCGAGGGCGAAACGGGTTTCCCCCCAAATTCAAATGAGACGAAAATTCAAAACAGTCCGGGTCGGCCATTTTGTTCATTTCACTGTGCACCGAGATTGACCACAGAACTACACTAAAACTGATATAAAACCCCTCAAATATGAATGCTACGGAGAGCACATGATATACACGTCTGATACGTACCGCCATCTTGACGCAGAGGCCGAAACTGGTGATGTAATCGGCTGTCAACAACTCGGATGAAATTTCATCCCGCCGCCCGCGAAAATGTCGTCCTTAGCAACGGCGTTGCTATGGACGGCGGAGTGATATCTTCTGCAAAGAAAACTCGTTCGAAAAGCGTTCGATTGAGTACGTGGCTTTCCGGCTGAAGAGAATAAACAATTGCGAACAAAGATGACTTGCATTTTCGTCAAACAGGTTAGTTTCCTACCGGCGGACAAGTGTGCCACGCCATCCATAGTGAGCCATTACTATAAATGCATCACAAACGCACGATCGGGCGTTGCCCTTTGACCCCGCATGTAACATTATGCTGGCCAACTAAAGGTCAGAGTCAGACAACAGTTACGTTGGCTTTTCCCAAGATCACACAGCGTCTGTCGTTAGTTCGGACTGAGGGACAGTATCAGAAGGTAGGAGATATCTTTCTTTCTTCTGAGTAAGGTACGTAATGCCCATCTGCCAAGAAATCGGCAACCAGTGACATGTTCTGGCGTGGCTAGTACAAAATGGGGGTTCGCCATGCCCCTTCCGGGCGATTTGTAGTGAATCACTAACTTCCAGAGAGTAGTACATGTATTTGGACCATCGCACACCGGGGCATGCCCTTCTCTTTTTCGAAACGGGCTTGGTTGTTTTTTTACCTACTCCCCCCCTAAACACGGGACCTCCACTTATTGTCCTATCCAGGGACGTTACTAATCGAGGAACGTTACAGCATATCGGGCGATATCAAATCAAACGCTGGATCTCTTGTACCTGCTGTATAATAAATACGAACCTTATTAGCGAAAAAAATTACTTGACTTTATCCGTGCATGCTGGTTACGTCAGCACTTTATTTTAGACAATAGACACGGTTTATTTCTGAACCTTGAATCCTCTACATTATATTCTTTAGTAATGCCTAGGTCAAATTTCTAAACCGGGGCCCGGCCGGGCTGTATGAACGAAAAACTAACAATTCATATCAAGAATATACAGAAATAGTGCCCATGATTATTATCGAAAACCTTTCTGTGTTTCCTTGTCTTTTATATCGTATTTTTGCTCAATAAGACTGCCCGGCCGAGCCCACTTTTGGAAATGTGACCTGAGCAATAGGTCAAACCAAGCACAACAAATACACAATGTTTTTTTAGTAACGGTCCAAAGGTGGGAGCGAGGCCGCCTCGTGTAACTATAGGGGCAGTATGTAACATAAGAAAACTTGAAATATTTTCTTTTAATAATACCAGTGTGATTGTCATTTAATATTTCCCCTTTTCAACATATGTGTGAAGTTATCTCATATTTTTTTCAGATCCTCGGACATACTAGAAAAATCTACTATTGCCGTTACTGTTGTTAAAACATGATGAATAGTTTTCACCTAATCATGATGGGGGCCGCCATCTTGTCCCAGCATGCCCAATCTGCCGACATCCTGGTTGCCACGGTTACTTACGCGAGCCCATGGTTGGACGTGGCGAAGATTGCCGAAGTCCTGGCTTCCCGAGGACACGTCGTCACCGTGTTGGCCCATGCTAGTCAAAAGAGCGACCTCATGCGGAAATGGCCTACCTTGCGATACGAAACATATGGAGATCCAGGAAAACCACCGTCGGTCAAGGAATTTATGAAGAGTGTGCCTCAAAAGTTGGTACGTAATGTTGATTGGAAATGGCGATGTTGATATGCGCAATTCACCATCCAATAGACTATATTGATTTGATTTGATTTATTAGGCTGTATAAGACATATGTATATGTCACAGGGGACATTGGAATCCAGGGGGATCCGGAATCCTCCTAGGGGAGATTGGAATCCCTATCTCCCCTAGGGGAGATTAGAATCCCTATCTCCCCTAGGAGAATCTGGAATCCTCCTAGGGGAGGCTGGAATTCAAGTTTTTTGTACAAAAATAGGATCTGAATATCTGAATTTCAATCTCTCCTTGGAGATTGTCTCTCCAGATTCTCCTAGGGGAGATAGGGATTCCAATTTGTCCTAGGACAGGTGAGAATTCTTACAGGACAGTCTCCAATTTTAAAAGGAGAAATTGTGATTGCATCAAAATGCTTGATATCTCATTGATATTTCATACCTAAAGTTTCAATCATTTTCAGCATAGGTAAGTGAATATGTAAATGAGACTCAGATATTTGCATCAGGCCATTGTGAGATAGTGACACAAAAACCAGTTTTTCCAGTTGGAAATAGATTTGGGTCTAAGTTTGGAAAGATTTCAATTATGGAATTAGAACTGCAAATTATGCCAGGACAAATCTTGATTCCAATCTAGTAATTCACCTACAATAGTAAGTTACCAATCTCTCCTAGGAGGATTCCAGATTCCCCTAGGAGGATTCCAGTCTACCCTAGGGGAGATTGGAATCCCTATCTCCCCTAGGAGGATTCCAGTCTCCCCTAGGAGGATTCCGGATCCCCCTGGATTCCAATCTCCCCTGTGGCATATACAGCCAGGACTGCCCAACTAGCCGGAGGCTATTATAAAGGGCTAGCCCTCACAACAAGAACATAAACAATTCGGAACAGGTAAAACTTCTATACCTGTCCATGGTTTACTTAAATTGACATGAATAGCAAATTTAAGTACATAATGGCACGTGACAAACCCTGTATGGTATACCAGGGATTTACGTTAATCCTATGTAGACTGGGCTTTTTTTTTATTCGCGGGAAGGTGTTGCTAATCCGCCCCCCCCCCTTGAAAATTCGCCAGGTTTTTTTTAGAAAAAATGCCTGTCAGAAACCCGATGTTATGTCAACACAAAATAATTATTACTTATTACAAGGAGGTTAAATACAAGTTGTATTTAACCTCCTTGCTTATTATAAGCCGTTCGGACGCTATGCGACATCAAATTTGGCGCGGGAACTTCTAGCCACCCTCCCCCAACACACACATAGTATAGATAGGGTTAAAGGATATGTAGACATAAGAAATTCTTCCAATGATTGTCAAAGCTCAACTCTACCCTATACTGGCCACACACTCTATCTTGTATTATTGAATTTTTGGCAACGTCTCAGGGAGGAGCCTGACGGTACACTATTGTCTGTAGTTTGCAATGATTCTAGGAATGGTACAGACATTTTGTCCACAGGAATGGAATGTCCACAGGCATGTCTCTGACCCACATCTATGCCAACATTCCTGGGAACCCTTGGGAAGACCAATCTGCCCCGATGGCCCTTCTTTCTGTGACCCCGGGGCTCGTTTACAATACACTAGGGAAGGGAGGCATTTTTGTCCACAGGCATGGAATATCCACAGGCATGTCTCTGACTCACATCTACACAGTTAGGGGAGGAGTGCACTGTATCTGTCTACTAGATTTAACAGGTACCAAGTCTTCCTCAAAATCATGAAATGATGGCAGTACCATGCAAACAATAGCCCTAACAGCAACCACCTTGGCCATGGCAATGTATGTTTTCATTGCCAGTCTTGTTGTATCAGTAGTTGTCATACGTTTTACCCTGTACATTTATTGCTGTGTAATAAGTTTATTTTATTCTTACAGGCATTTTCTTCATCTGGATTCTTAGGCCTCATAAACTTTGCCCAGACTTTGAGTAATGCTCTGCTTGAACTTACTGAAGAGACATTGAGCGACACCCAGCTACTGAGAAAACTGAAGAACAGTCACTATGACGTTGTCCTGACGTACGCTGGTCCCTCCTGTGGACCTCTCCTGGCGCAGTACCTGGACCTGCCGCTAGTCGGCACGTCAAGATCAATGCCTACGGGGCAAGGTATGTCAGGACAAGTTTGGAGGCCTAACTGCTACCGAATGCAATCTAATTTCTTTATTATATATCGAGAATTAGGCCCTTTGATCTCTACCAAACACACACACACACAACACACACACGGACACACACACACATACGCACACACACACACACCACACACACACACCACACACACACACACACACACAGAACATGCACACACTCTCAGCAAGCCCACACCACACACACACAAACACACACACACACACATACACACACACATATACACACCACACTCACACAAACACACACACATACACACACTCACACCACACACACACACCACACACATACACACACACGAATACACACACACATACACACAAACACACACACGCCACACACACACAAACACACACATACACTGCTCCCCACACTCATTACACACACATGTGTAATGTATAATTATATAAATAATCACTATGGTGATTATGTCATAATCATAAATTTATATTGAAAATAAAACAAAGAAAATAGGCAAAGCACGGTCATACAAACAAATGAAATAAGAATAAAATCAAATGGCGTATCAAGTTGATTTTTTTACCTGTATTATTTATCCTTGAAATGATTAATGGAAGAAAATTGCAATTAGTTAATAAATGAATGTTGTTGCTTTTTTTCAAACATATTTAGACCTCCGAGCCACCGGATGCCCCAATCCTCTGGCTTACGTCCCAACAGTGTCGTCAGGACTGTCTGATAGGATGACATTCCTGCAGAGAGTCAAGAACGTCTTGGTGTACTTCATATTTACTACCGCGCCAATGTTCTTCGAAACACGTGTTGACGAGATTGCAAAAAGGTTTGTTAACATATATATTCGTTTTTTTCTTCACTCATCGTTGGTATTCATTAATTGCGATGTTTTTAAATTAAAAATAAACCTGGTAGGTGTGCCTAAAACAGTTCATTGCACTACTTGAAATTTATTCAAAGGACAAATCCAGTCTGCTGTTTCAACCTTAATACTTTAACAATTGACAGAAGCTCATCAATTTTATGCTATGCATTTTCTGTATACACCATATATAGTTGACATTCGATCAGCAAACCTGTATAATGATAATTGCAAGCACAGTTTTACTAAAGAAAAACATGTTGTTTTTTTGCTCTGTTTTGCTCCGTTTCTTTATCTCAAAACCAATAATGTCAACGGCCTAAACCAGACGTCTGTCACCAATGACTCACAATCATGGTAACTAGTGGTGGGATACATCATGTTGCAATTTTATAGCAAGAGGGATTTAGACTCCCGTATGACCATATATAGGAATGTGTTTGAGTAAGAATTTACAGAGCAGACCATATTTTGAATATGTTTTGCAAAATGTTAGCTTTCTGGTTTGTTTTCAATACCGCACATGTAGAGAGAATGCATACATTTTAGTTAGAAGTATGATGTGAAATTTATCCTCCTACAGTTCGTGAACATTTGTTTTTAAATTATATTTCGAGTGTCAACATAAGACAAAATGCCAATGAATTGATAATAATGTTTTAAAATAATGGAGCAACAAAGAAAAAACAACAACAAAGAAGAAATACAATCGTACAGTCGCGCATGTAGCTTTTGAATTTGAATATCCGTTACAATTATTATGTAAGATTCTATATCTGTATCGGTATAGCCGGTATAACCGCCCTTCGGCGTAACACACCACCTTCACAGGCACGCGGCACGGCGGCAGCTAGCTATATTACACCGAACGACTTGTTACACTCAATCTTTGCACATTTGCTTATTAAAGAATTGACCATCCTTAATCTTGACAGAAATGGTTGAAACGACATTCTGGATGAATTAATTTTCTTCACCAACAGGACTCTTGGTGAAAACTTCACCAACTCTGCTGCAATTGCAAGAACTGACGTGTGGCTCTACCAATCAGATCTCATGTTCGACTTCCCGAAACCCATGATGCCAAATATGGTCAGCATAGCGGGTCACATGGCTGAGGACGTCAAGCCTCTCAGTGAGGTCAGTCATAGAAACAATAAATAATTAAGAAAAAAAGATGGCCGTCGGCCTAAGGAGGGAATGATAACTGGTTGAATTGCATAAGTATGATGATGATGCGTGACTCGATTAATTGGTTACCTTGGCGACTTTAATTGGACTAATCCTAACCAGGGGTGCTAGAGTATACAGTGAACTTTTACGTAATACAGTACAATCGTATTAGTATGCAGTGTAATTTTACTAGTAAAATTGCTCTATATACTAATACCATGCATTGTACTGTATTGCGTAAAACTGCACTGTATATACTAGTAAAATTGCACTGTGTTCCGTAAATTGCACTGTATACTCTGGTACCCCTGCTTACAGTAGGTCAAAAATGTTGCAACGATGAAAACTATAGTCCTAGCTAAGCCTGGTGCATAAAACACTTTAATGATGGGCCTGAGCCTTGATGCCAAAACAAATAACTTCTTGCCACCAAACAGCCAACAAATTAACCATTAAACGGAATAGCGTAAAGCCTTGGGCCTTATGACCCCCCACCCCCACCCCAAAGGAGCGTTACGTAGGAAGGGTTTACAATAAAACAGATTTATTGTGCACTTATCCATGACATTAACTCTGGGTCTACAGTATGTTTTTACATTATAAGAACTATATTGACACAACAAAAGGACAGTGACTATCGTAAGGCCTTAAACTACATGTGGATACAACAAAATTGACCTACGTAGAAGACAATAGATGAATCAACTGATACTTTTTGCTCTAAAGTCTAAACATTTTTTAGCGTAGTTGCTGGTAAAATAAATCAACTGAATTGAACCATCTAGAGTGAAATTAAATTTATCCATAGTATAAAATGTAACAGATTATGATGTTTGGCACAATGTATTTAAAGTACATTCTAAGGCTTTTTCTTTTGGTAATAACATAGGATCTGGAGAAGTTTGTGCAGAGTTCTGGAGATGACGGTGTTGTGTTGGTAACGTTCGGCTCCATGGTGGCGACCATGCCTGCAGAGATAGCCGACATGCTGGCCGCTGCTTTTGCCCGTTTGCCACAGAAGGTCGTGTGGCGCTACGCCGGAACACCTCCGCCAAGTCTGGGGACCAACACCAGGACCATGGAGTGGGTGCCGCAAAACGATCTACTAGGTAAATACTCTTTACACCTGTTGGAGAATGATCTCGTAGTATCTATGCCTCTACCAGGCGTCTGAAGTATCTGGGAAGGGTAGAAATTATGCCAAATAGACAAGAGAGGACAATGTATTTTGGCGACGTCTCAGGGAGGAGCCTAATGATACAGTATTGTGTGCAGTTTGCAAGAATTCTAGGAATTTTACAGGAATTTAGTCCACATAATGGAATGTTCACAGGATTTTTTTTTTGTATGCCCACATTCCTGGAAACCCTTGAGAAAACCTGTCTGCCTAGGATGCCCTACTTTCTGTGACCCCGGGGCTTGTTCACTAACTTAACAGACTAGACTTAACAGATACACCAACGATTCCTCAAAATCATGAAATCATGGCAGTGCCATGCAAACATTAACCCTAAAAGCAACCATACCACCATCGCCATGGTAATGTATGTTTTCATTGGCAGTCTTGTTATATATATTTTTTGCGTGTTGGAACAAAGTTCAAACTCTTTAACAATGGATTCTACCAACACAGATGAGCTTTCATTCAGACAAGAGAAGATGGTGCGTTAGAGAAGTATTCGTGATTCAAACCTACTTGGTCCACACAAAACGATTTATACCCGACTAAACATTTAAACCGTGTATAAAAGTCAATTAATTTCATATCGATGCATTATTTTTTTACCTGTTGTCTTACCCATTTGCTGTTTTGCCATTTTGTTATAATATATTTGTTATTGTGCTTGCTTGACTAAAATTTGAGTTCTGCTAGAGATGTCCACCCCAAGTTATGTTCTGTAATTGTAAATAAATTATTAAATACTCCGTTAGTGTCCAATCTCCTTTGAATGTCATCTATTTAATAGTATTTAGGCAATTTCTACCTTTTCCAGGTAGAAAAGTAATTTTAAAAGTCCAGTTTTACGACTCTATAATTGCATTGATTGTCAGTGTTTTTCGTCAATTTTAGCTCATCCAAACACGAAGGCGTTTGTTTCACACTGTGGTTACAACGGAGTGGCAGAGGCCATGTACCACGGGGTGCCGCTAGTCGGGATGCCTCTGTTCGCCGAGCAGTTTGACAACATTGCCCGGGTGATGGCCCGCGGGATGGCGGTGTCACTGGACATCCACACCGTGACTTCAGAGGAGGTTTACCAGACCATCACTACCGTTATTTCCGACCCTAGGTACGTATGAGACGGTATAGCTTCCGAGTAAAGTGACCCTTTATATACAACCAAGTCTTTTATTAAGCAGACGTTTTCGGTAACGGTCTGTCACCTTCCTCAGGGCAATTCTGACTGGTTCACATTGCACTGCAGCACAGGTGTCGCTGCTACAGATCCATTCCCAAATGTACAATATTTACATATCTACACATACGCATGATTGGAATACAGGTATCTACAATGCGTTTCCAAATGTGCGGAAGTTGGATATATATATACATAATGGTGGTCAGTTATTTACCAGTTACAGAAAAGTAGGAACAGAATCCACGGTTTCAAATGTACAGCTAAGTGTCATAAGTACATGGTGGTCATTAACACAAAAAGTCCTGATCCATACAGCGTCCTTAATCCAACTTTCTTATTACCAGCTTTTCAAAGCACCTAGCCTGTCACACCTAACTAAATCACGATGGCCTCCCAAACACTGCCGACCCCAATATGAGTAAATTGTGGGTATTGACCGTCTTGGACTCAGATTTTACTGTCCTTAATAATGTTTCAGGTACAAGGAGAAAGCCAACAAGGTCTCGTCACATCTTCGTGACCAACCACAGTCGCCGATGGAGCGGGCAGTCTGGTGGATAGAACACGTCATCAAACATGGCGGCCTCCCGCATCTCAGGTCGAGGGCAGCCGAACTTCCCTTCTACCAGTACTACCTGCTGGACGTCATTGCTCTGATTGTAGCAGTTCTATCTGCCGTGCTGTTGTCTTGTTGGAAGTGTTGTTCTTTCGCTTGTAGCATGTGCAAGCGGAGTAACACAAACAAAAAGCTGAAAAGTCAGTGACCGTTTTCTACAGTGCAGCTAAAACAGTACTGTACGTTTTTTAAGGTCATTACGTTTTGAATGACTTCCATTCTGGCTAGGGAAGGAACTAGTTTGTTTCCTGATGATGTTAAAAAATAGTATTCAGTGATTTATAAGCGGTGACAGCCATCCTCGTCGCTGTTTTCTAAATTTACAGACTCCCATGTAACCATTTTTAACCAGTACTACCTGCTGGATGTCATTGCTCTGATTGTGACAGTTCTCTCTGCCGTGTTGTTGTCTTGTTGGAAGTGCTGTTCGTTCGCTTGTGGCATGTGCAAGCGGGATAACACAAACAAAATACTGAAAAGACAGTGACCGTTTTCTATAGCTAAAACAGTGACCTAGAGCACGTTTCCAAGGTAATTGCGTTTTGAGTGACTCAACTTCTTCCTCTTCGTTTCCTGACGATGTTAAAAACGCAAAGAAAAAGTATTTAGTCATTAATAATCGGCAACAGCCGTCCTCGTCGCTTTATTCTAAAGTTACATACTCTTATGTAACCATTTTTATTTTACCAGTACCTGTTGAATGCTATTGCTCTGATTTTGGCAGTTCTATCTGCCGTGTTGTTGTCTTGTTGGAAGTGTTGTTCGTTCGCTTGTAGCATGTGCAAGCGGAGTAACACAAACAAAAAACTGAAAAGTCAGTGACCGTTCTCAATAGCTAAAACAATAACCTTCAGCACGTTTTTAAGGTCATAATGCGTTTTGAGTGACTTTTCTGCTGGCTAAGGAGTGAATTAATTTGTTCCCTGACGATGTTCAAAACGCAAAGAAAATAGTATTTAGTGATGCGTTTTGAGTGACTTTTTTGCTGGCTAAGGAATAAATTAGTTTGTGTGAATAAGGTCACGTGTTTGCAAACCGTAACTCTCGCGAGATCACGTTGTGAAGTGGTTGGTCATTGATTATCCTGATGAAGGCGACAGTGGTCGCTGAAAATTTGATCCCTGTAAATTGTGTGTTGGAATAAAGTTTAACGTTTTACTATGATTACTACCACAGATGAACTTTCATGATAATAAATTAGTTTGTTTCCTGACGATGTTCAAAACGCAATGAAAATAGTATTCTTAGATTAATAAACTGTAACAGACATATCCGTCGCCTTGTTCTTTATTAACAGACTCCCATGTAACCATCTTTATTCTACCATAACTACCGTTTGGGTGCCGTCATTACTATGACTGTTGCAGTTCTATCTGCTGTGGTTTAAAATACATGTTGGACTATACATCTGTAGTGTAACTTTTTTAGATGCCAAATTGAACCTGTGGGGTTTGGGTGGCGTAGCGGCAGAGCGCTCGAGTCGGAACCAAGAGGTCACGGGTTCGAGTCCTGACATGCCACCGATCTTGTGTCCTTGGAAAAGGCACTTTACTCGACTTTCCTCACTTAACTGAAGTGAAAATGAGTATTGTCTTGTCCTGTATTTGTACTCTGTGTTGGTGGTGGCATAAAATAATTTGTAAAATGAGTGTGCTGTCGCCATGTTTGTCATGAAATGTTGGAATATGAAAAGAAACAAAAAAAAAAAAACCTAGCACCTGGCCACGCCACCCTTACACTACCTTAAAGGTCATTGCATAGATAATGAGCTACCTACTAAGTCAAACCTACCCGACTACTCGCTCGCTTCGGGGGGAGGCACGGACGTTAACCCGTCACACTTCTTTGATTTCTCGGTGGATTTGGTGAGTATAAAGCTCTGTTTTATGTCTATTGCTTTCTTCTGGCGTTTTTACAGCATTGTCACCGCAGTGCTGATGTCGTCATGTGGTTCTACGTAGCTCTACGTACGTAGCTATACACACACATATATATATATACACAGATCACCCTAATACCTTTAATATTTAGTACCTTACAACGTACACAAACAACATAAAGTTTGGTGTATTCAGTACCGCGTTACTGAAACAGACAACACCTTTTGGCATTTTCCTAACGGACGTGTATCCCTGACGACTGTAGCAAGGGTTGGATATCGTCTAAGGAAAAAAAAACTTATGTCTATTGCTTCCTTCTTCTACTATAGGATTGACCTATCTGAGATGTCGAGCAAACTTGTGAAGGAAGGACCCCTGGCGGGAAAGCTAGGAGGTGCAAACCACTTTGGTCATGGAGATGCCACATCTCAGGTAATACAGGGGTTTTTAATATTATATTAATAATTGATGTTTTGAAACCGTACAACCGAAATTATGAAATAAGCAATATTGAATCCAAAAGCCATTATTAATATGTAATTCGTCTTAAGTCTATATCAAATTGAGAAATAATTTCAAAGATTGTAATTCTTCCCTTGTAGGCGTTGAATGATCAACTGTATTTTCCTTCATAGTCTTCTGTTAAATATTGAAGTCTAACAATAAAATTATACAGTGATCGCTAGATACACCCCTGTACACGGTACGTAGTCTTATATAAAGCTAGATGTTTCAGAGAGCATCCGTTGTATTTTATTACTGACCTGTGAACAAGTCTCTAAAAATACATTATACATGAACGTCCTATTATTAAATAAAGAATAAGCTTCAATTTCAAACCCTAGCTACAAAGAATTGGGACTTAACCCAAATTTTCGGTTGACTCCATCAACCTTGTTCACGTAATGGACCCATCTATTTTTGGAGCGTGACGTCAGAGACACGTTACCGTAGTAGCGGGTTATACGTGCCAGATAACTTGTGTCGTCCCCCGTCCCCGTCCCTGTTCAGGGTAGGTCTGTGAGCTCTTATGTACATGTAGACCGCCTCTTTCACTCCTCAACTGTAGTCAACCGAAATTCTGGGGTATACGTAAGTCCCAATTCTTTGTAGTCAGTGTTGGAAATTAAAGCTTAGTCTTTATTTCATAATGACTTGTACCAACAGAGATGAACTTTCATGCTACGTACGTCCTATGTTGCTAATACTTTGTCCTCAGACTACGTTTTCGGAGTCTAAGCCCGTAACAGTCGTCTGGAAAGGAATGCCTTCTGAGGAGACTTTCCTCTTCGGGAGCTGGGATTCCTGGGAGAATGGAAGGCCGGTCACTGAGAGGTAAAGACATTACCCAACAACTATATACTCAGAGGTTACATGCCCGTAGCCAGGATTTTGAAGGGGGGGTTATCCCCACTGCTTGAGGGGACCACGAGCTCCATAGGCGCGAGGTTCCTAGGGGGGTTTGGGGGCATGCTCCCCCGGAAAATTTTGAAAATGAACCTTCTAAAATGGCATTTCGTGCATTTTTGAGAGGGTTTCCAAGGCCAAGAAAAAGTCTGAGATAAATGTTTATTCAATGACAAAGGGAGCACTTTTTCTACGATTCCAGTCCGCCTTTTCAAGAAACATCTTGGACCTTTACATTAAAAGTGGACCAAAAAGTGGACCTTTACATAAAAAGTGGACAAAAAATCGGACCTTTACATAAAAAGTGGACCAAAAAGTGGACCTTTGAGCCTTGTGGGGGGG